GAAAAAAAAAAAAAAGAGAAAGAAAAAGAAAAGAAAAAAAAAAGAGAAAAGAAAAAGAGAAAAAGAAAAAGAAAAGAGAAAGAGAAAAAAGAAACAGAAAGAGAAAAAGAAAAAGAAACAGAAAAGAGAAAGAGAAAAAAGAAAGAGAAAAGAGAAACAGAAAAGAGAAAGAGAAAAAAGAAACAGAAAAGAGAAAGAGAAAAAAGAAACAGAAAAGAGAAAGAGAAAAAAGAAACAGAAAAGAGAAAGAGAAAAAAGAAACAGAAAAGAAAAAGAGAAAAAAGAAACAGAAAAGAAAAAGAGAAAAAAGAAAGGAAAAAAAGAGAGAAAACAGAAAAAAAACAACAAAAAACAGAAAAGAAAAAAGAAAAGAGAAAAAAAACAAAAACAGAAAAAACAGAAAAGAAAGAAAAAACAGAAAAAAAAGAAAAACAAAAAATAACAAAGAAAAAAACAAACAAACAGAAAACACAAACAAACAGAAAAAAAAAAACGGGGGCCCCCAAAATACAAAAAAAAAAAAAAAAAAAAAAAAAACAGGGGGACAGAAAAGAAAAATACAGGGGAAGAAAAAAACCAACAGAAAAGAAACAAAAAAAAAAAAGAAAACAGAAAAGGAAATCAAAAACAGAAAAAGGAAATCGAAAACAGAAAAGGAGGGGAAAATGGAGAAAATGTGTGTGTTTGTGTGGGGAAACAGAAAAAAAAAAAAGAAAAAAAAAAACACTTGGTAGTACTGAAATCTAAAAGATTCGGAAAACAAAAATTTACTTGTTAAGAATTTAATCTTAGGCTACTTACATTTCCAAGTTATAAAATATTTATTTATATAGCAGTATAAAAATAAAAAGTGTGTGTGTGTGTATATATATATATATATATATATATATTTATTTATATATATATAATATATATTCTATACAAGTTTCACTGAAGATGACTGACAAGGCACTGCTACAATTGGGCCTTTTATTAAATGTTTCTTGCATGTGTACAAGTGATTTTATTCTGGACTTTGTGTGTAAGAAACTGTATAATTGCTCTGTGGGTCTGAGAGCTTTCAGCTAATCTGTTAGCCATTATCAAAGAGGTTTTTTTGTGTTTTTCTGAATATGTAGATCTTTTGTTTTTTTTTCATTGAATGTGACAAGGAAACAACTGAAAAACAAATCACAAAATTTTCCTTGTCTGTCATATTCAATGAAACATGTATAAAGGAAGGATTGTTACACACACACGTGTATGTGTTTATAATTCATTTCATCCCAAGCAAGGCAATAATGCCACAAAGATGCAAGTGGTTATTGCGGCTGAAAGAAAATGAGAAGTCTTTACGTGAATATATATTTCAAATATAACTACTAAGATATCTGGGAAAGAACAACATGAATAAAGACAAGAGGAAAACTTATCTTAGCCAACACGTTTATCAAAGTGAACATAAGGATTTTATTTTGCATTTATAAATATTTATAAATAAAAAATAAAAATGTTGTTTGTTTCCAATATACTTTTTGTTTATAAATTCTTGTTGCAAAATAAAATCATTATATTGGCCTTGTTAAAGTCCATCAGAGGACGAAACGTGTTGCCTAAGAAAAGTTTTCCTTTTGTGTGTGTGTGTGTGTGTGTGTGCGTATATATATATATATATATATATATATATATATACATATATATATATATATATATAGGTAGGTAGGCACACTAGTTCCAATCAATCCTGGTATACAAAGTGTTACCTTCAATCCAAGAGGCTTACGGCATCCTCCATAGCTTCGCCCGGCTGCCATTTTGGTCATAAGTCGTTATCCCTATTGTTACTTGTGATCTTGCTTGGGTACATATATATATATTAGATATATAACTATATATATATATGGTGGGTGGAGTGGGAGGGGTCACTGATACAGGTAAGTAATGATCCTATAGTTTTTTTTTTTTAGTATAAAAATAAAAAGCAAAAAGGTATGAATAATCAGTGGCAAACGAGTGTGACGAGAGATATTGATGGATTTAAATCACAGTTAGTCCAGTGGGAGGCACTTTCATAATATAGAAAGCATATTAGTTGTGTGCGAGCATGATAGGGAAGAGTTGTTCATGTCTAACACTTAACAAGTTCCTGTTGTTGCGATATTTTTTTTTTTTTGTCCGTATTTTTTTTTGTTTTTGTTTTGACAGTGTCTATTGACTTTTTCTCAGTGATCATGTGCAACGGAAATGAGATTTGTTTTTTTTTTCAGGTAGGTATTTAAGCCAATCTCACACCTGTGTTTATATATATATATATATATAAATATAAATAAAAAGGTGTTTAGTTATAAATAAACACTTATTTATGTTGGTAAAGTGGAGAATTAGGAGTTATTAGAATTACTAGTTTAATTACTTCTCAACAGGTAAACAATAATTTAATGAGGGAGGAGAAGGAGGGGGAAACTAGGTGATTTTCTTTATTTAGCAGCATATCAACTTCTTATGGGTTATTTAATGACCAAATTTAATTTTCTTGGAGTATTACTAATTTTCTTTACAAAAATGTATTGTTGGTATTTTTTTTTTTCAAAAATGTCTAGTTGGTAATTTTTTTTTACTATGAAAATGTATTACTGGTATTTTTACTATAAAAATATATTTTCATACTTTCATAGTGTTTTCACCAGAGTTTAAGGTGTGGTGTTAACTATTTGCCCATACCTGGGACCCTAAATTGTACTACCACCCCATGTCAGGGTGGACCTGGGAACATCAGCAATTAAGAGGTGGTTCAACACTCCCTAAAACCTCCAATCTCTTGACCAGAGGTCCTGCTGTTGGATGTAGTTTATCCTCAAAACCCAGGATGAGAAACCAGGTGAGAATGTTAAGGAATTCTGGAGAGACGAGTACAAAGTGATAATAGGTCGTATTAATGAACAGTCAAATAATGAACGTTAAGATAATGAGATTGAGCAGGTTGAAAGATTATCTCAGTTGTTTAGTTGCACGTAGCACGACAGGTGTAATACTGACCTAAAGAAAGCTGGTATAAATGAAAATAAATAAAGATCCATTTACTGACTGACTGACTGATGTGAAACTCTTCATGGAAGGAAAATGTCTGTCAAGGACATCTCCACCACCAAAGGCCTGTCCAGAGTTTTTATTTGGTGGGAGGCTTCGCAAATCAAAAGTTGTTCAGAACGTAACATATTTTTAGAGATGAAAAAAACAAAACAAAATAAAAAGCAAACAAACAAAAAAAACTATTTAAATATAATGAAAGTTGATTTTTTTAAAATTACTTCACCTCAAGCAAGGCAATAAATCCACTAAGGCACAAAGGGTGGGGGGGTTACTAGGATTGAAAGAAACTGAGAAAATGTTAATGAGTAGAAAGAACAGTAGGCAAACGGGGATCGGGCGGCAGGCCAGTAGGCGAACGGGGATCGGGCGGCAGGCCAGTAGGCGAACGGGGATCGGGCGGCAGGCCAGTAGGCGAACGGGGCTCAAAGAAAGATGATGATTAATATTGCATTTAAATTTTGGAAGATCATAGTTGACAGGAAAGCACGAAGCCAGAAGAGAGTTCCACAAGCAAGAAGTGCAAGAGAAGAAACTATTATCATAGAACTTACAGCTACATTGGGCACTTTCAACAGTAAAATGACGAGACTTAGCTGAATGGCCAAAAGACTACATTCAAGAATGCAACAGACTGTCGCCACTTGGTGTTGACTCTCATATTTACATAGTCTTTTTCTGGCAATGAGTAGTTTTATCCATAATTATAGCATACCCTAAAATTATATTTTTTTTATCATCTCTTTCTCTCACACAAACAAAGTATTTAGGCAGCAAATGTTATTAAAAACAATAGACAATTGTGTCAATTAATTTTATTGGTTGACTTTTCCAAAGTTTATTTTGGAACAAATATGATCCTAGCTTTGGGCTTTCTTAAGTCTTTATACGCCACAGGTCATACAGTTACCTATTGGAGCCAGGACAACAGTTGGGGAGTGGCGTACACTGCTGTACCAGTAGCTAACCTATTAACCAGAGTAAAAGCAGTCCTGCATTCATTGCTAACGGTGGAAGTTTTAGCAGGGAAACAAAGGCATGAACCTTCATAGATATAAGTAGCACCACTCTCAAATGGTGAACAGTTGATTGATCATACGATTCATTTTCTATGGCTTCTCAATAAACCCTTTCTAGGTTATTTAAAGCCTGAACATATTTTTAGATTGTAAGAATTTTTTGATAGATAATAATAGTTTAGTGATACAAGTTTTACTAATTAACCTATAGCTGGGTTGGAGAAGGAGGGGATTCATTAGCTAATCAGAATTTGGTCAAGAAGTTATATGGATATAAAGTGGGGGACCAATTCTACATTACAATCAATACATAGACTGACCCCTCACTTTGTGGCCACGGTAGTTTCTATATCTCTATATTCCAGAAAATATAAATAAATCTAAAAGACATGCCTGTGTAGCTAATCAGTATTTCATTGATTGATTCATTTTCTATGGTTTATCAACCCTTTGCAGGTTATTCAAAGCCAGAAATTATAATGTGGCCATAAAATAGGGGACCAATTTTATATTACAATCAATATACAAACTGATCCCTCTCTTTGTGGCCACGGTAGTTTCTATACATTTATATTCCAGAGAATGTAAATAAATTTAAAAGACATGCCAGTGTAGCTAATCAGTATTTCATTGATTGATTTTCTTTTCTATGGCTTAACCCTTTGCAGGTTATTTAAAGCCAGAAAATATTTTTCAGACTGTGAGAATTTTTTTTTGGTTTTGGAGATAATTGTTTAGTGATACAAGTCTTACTAATTAATCCATAGCTGGGGGCAGTAGAGGTGAATTCATACCTTTGGAATACTACAAGGTATTTGCTCGTAAGTGAATATAACAAATTCAACAGGAATTGGAACTTGGCTCTACAATTAACAATTCCAAACCATTATACATTATTCAATTTATATATCCAAGCTTACATCACCTGGTATTCTCAGGTGGTTAACCATTTAGGTACTGACCAGGCTTGACGTTGCTTAACTTTGGTGATCATATGGGAACAAGTGTTTTGAATGAAAGATTGAGTATAGAGGCACCAGAACTGTAGAGTTAACACTTTCCCTGCACTGATGCCTGGCTGTGCTGGCCCTGTTTTGGGAAATATAAGAAATGCTATAAAAACGCTGATGGCAATTTCTTAAGGGTGCTGCTATTTTGTTTTTTATCCGATACTCTGTAGTAAAGACTAGGCTGAATGGCACCCCCAAAATACTAATTCAGTGAAAAAAACAGCATAGCATAATGAAAAAAGGCCTTGAACTTCATAAAAACTAGTTTATGTTAATATTAAGAGGAAAGACCAAAGTATTTTTGGATTATTTTATTAAATTTTTTTAATTCTTTCTAGCATGTTTGAAAGTTTGGTTAAAAATTTTTTTTCTTTTTTTTTTTTTGTCAGTGGTTGCCCTAATATTTACTATGGTGTAAAACACTTTAGCGCCTTTTTCCTGGTAAAAAACATACATTTGGAAATTCTTGCAAAAATCAAATAATTATTGGATTTTAATGTAAATTTCAGGAATTATTTATTCATAATTTAAATTATTTTTGAATTTTTTTTTTTTTTTATTTTATATATGTTACTTAATTTCATTAAATTTCAAGAAATTAAATTTTAATTGCAAAATGTGCTCCATTAGTTAAAAGCAGGACTCCTTGGAGAAGGTAAAACATTAATATTTTTTTTTTTCAAAGGAGTTACTCATTTCTCAAAAATCTGCTCTGAATCATAAAAAAAAAAATGAAATAAAACTATGACATATATTAATTACAAAAGCTTTTAATTGATTTTCTAAATAAGATATATTATGGACACTATTGATGAATTTTTACAAGAATTGTTTTCATTTTTTTTTTTAAATTTTAATAATAATAAATAAAAATAATAATAAAAAATAATAAATAAATTCTAAAAAGTTTCAAATCTTAAAATTCTGCATTACTTTAATTGCATTAGGTGATATTGTTATTAAGTAAAAACTATATTTACTAATCAAAAATTGAAAAGCTTAATAGAAATCATCATGCACCAAGATTAAAAATAATGTTTCATTTTTTTTAGTGTATAAACGTTCTCATTTTTTAAGCATGGGCAACCATACACAACACTACCATAAAGTAAGATTGATGACTATAGTTATTTAAAGTCAGCATTCCTAAAATTAAATTACAGAGAATATTTGTCAATGTTTTTAAGATTACTGAGTACTTAAAAATTATATAAAAAAGGCACGCACATCATTTTCTTAAATTATGTTTTACAAATAATGTCTCCATACCACATCAATCAATATGTCATCACTTGTCAAACACATAAACATGATTGTCAGTTAACACAGCTACTGTTTGTTTAAAAATGCATTTCTGTGTTCACTATTTACATTATTCGGACTATTGTCCTCATCTTTGTCACCATATTTATTACAACATTTTGGCTGTTGTACGCTCCAGCCTGCTTCAGGTGGTTGGAATGCTGAACTAACCCTTTATTTTGCTTTGCTGTTCTAGTTACACGTGCCATGTCTTTATCCACTGTACCATGTGTCCTTGACACATGACACAGTGGATAAAGGCGTTAATTAGAGTGAATGGACCCAAAGAGTGTGAGTTCAATACTTGGTTAAGGCAGTGGAGAACTTAGAGAGGGGAATTAACAGGAGATAACTAAAAATTGACATCAATTAGACATAATTTTTTTTGAGAATTATGACAGAACAAAGCTTTTCTAAATTGACAGAAAAAAAATTGTATTATTTTTTTAACTGAAGCAATAAATTTAAATTTGGTTGGACGGCAAACTTCAATGAGTTCAGGCATGACAAATAAATAATAGAAAGAAAAAAAAAAAAAAAAAAAAAAAAAACACACATACCAAGAAAGCTGACATTGATGTCTATTTCATATGACCCACCCATCCCACTACACTATAAAAGAAGGAAAGAATAAGTGAATAAGGGAAAGAAAGAAAGGAAGAACTCATAAAAGGTATTTGAAACAATATATGCAGTATATCACTTTTTATGGGACACACAGATGAGAAAGTTACTGTGTGTCATTTAAGATTTTTATACATCAGGGACACATATCATTCAGCATCTCTAGAAATGCTAGAAACAATATTTGATGATGTTTTGAAAAAGTATATAACAGCAGACAAAGAAAGGAAAGAAAGAAGAAAGGAAAGAAAGAAGAAAGGAAAGAAAGAAGAAAGGAAAGAAAGAAGAAAGGAAAGAAAGAAGAAAGGAAAGAAAGAAGAAAGGAAAGAAAGAAGAAAGGAAAGAAAGAAAAGGAAAGGAAGAAGAAAGGAAAGAAAAAGTCAGGAAAGAAAGGAAAGGAAGTCAGAGAAAAGAAAGAAGGAAGTCAGAGAAAGGGAAAGAAAGAAGTCAGAGGAGAAGAAAGTCAGAGGAGAAGGAAGTCAGAGGAGAAGGAAGTCAGAGGAGAAAGAAAGGAAAAAGGAGAAATAGAAGAAAGAAAGAAAAAAGAAAGAAAAATAGCTCTCTTTTGATGACAAAAATCCTCCATTTCCATTGCTGCTCTTACTTTTTTCTTTAAATAGTTACATTTGGGAAATGTCAATAGCAGGCAATGTAAATTTTATAAATCAGTATAAGTATGTTTGAGAAATTTATATAGGACTTGTTTGGCGGTGGAGGTGTATATTCAACAAAAATCAAAAATTACTTTTCTCACTGCAAATTATTGATTATATTTTTTTTTTACAAAAAATTAGCGTTGTTTACACAATATTTCAAACTCAATTTATGTTTATATTTCATAACGATGCAATGAGATGAGGTAACATAAACCGTAGATTTGTCTACGGAATATCATTACATTATTGTTACATAATTATAGTGAAATCATTAAGGTATTTTGTCAAAAGCATTTTATTTTTGGTCATATATTAATTTAAAATATTCCTTTTTACAGGCTTTATTTTTGAAATGGAATAAGATCATTCTAAATTTCAGAATTTTGCTATTGCCCATCAAAATTGACTGGAAGAAAGCGATCTAAAAACAACAATGGTAAAAAGAGAGGTAACAAAGCATAAACGAAATAGCTGCTGTTTATTCAACTTAGGAAACTTAGCATTGCAGCCAAAGTTTTCTAAAATGCTGTCAATAACAAAGGAGAAAATTAAAAATACTTAACAACAAATTGAATATAGAATCAAAATTTATATCTTTATTTATTTGTTATGTAACTAAATACATAATTGTCAACAATGTTTAATAAATATTATTATTGTTTTTATTTTACTTAAATGTAAGGAAGTCAAACATTTACAATTCCTTATGGCTAACCATGAAAAGAAATGTTGATCAAAACTGCCTAAATCCTTTAAGCGCGTAATGCCACAATTTTAATAAATGTTGAATATACCCTGCCTCTACCGAATGTAGCATATATGTCAACAGTAAGCAAAATAAGTTTTGTAATATGTCAACAGCAGATGTGTGGGGTGCAACCAAAATTTTAGGTAAAAGCGACTGACAAAATATTTACGGTATTTTTAATTAGTCTTGATAAAAGCCATTAAGGTGGAAGAGGTTACCAAGATTGAAAGAGACAGAGAGAAGACAATAAAAGCACAGAATTAAAGAAGACAAAAGATGATGACTAACATTGCATTTAAATTTTTAAAGATTGTAGTTGACCGAAAAGCAGTAAACTAGAAGAGTTCTACAACTGAGAAGTGCAAGAGAAGAAATTATTAGCATAGAACTTACAGTTACACTATGAGTTTTAACAGCGTACTTAAATTCATAAAGTCTAGGTACCAAAGAGGAAAGCTCATCAGAACAATTACCATGAAAATATTTATAGAAAAGGCAGAGAGAAGCTATATTACAGCTTAAATTCATAAAGTCTAGGTACTAAAGCCATGCTGATGGAAGGCAAAAGAGGTTCTTTAAAATGATTTCCCAATAACTGTTACACATGGCATCAGGCTATACCTCACCTGGTTGATATCGTCCACCGATGGGTAATCAGAAATTTTGGAAGGCAATACAGGATTTTGAGTATTAACTTTGTTTAATTTTTTCCCCAATGTGTGCAACACTAAACCTAACCTTGAAACTAAATTATATATCTAAGTTATTACATTTGAACATACATTTTATACTTTTTTTTAGAAAAAACTCTCCATTTTGCAATTAACACCATCACATTGACAAGCCACCAGAAGTGTTGAAGCAAAATGGCTATTTTTGTAGCGATGCTATAAAAGGCTTATGCTATAATTTTTGAATAAATATTATTTGCTCTACTTTGTATTGAGCACTTTTTTAAAAATTGTGGTTTTAGTTATTTGAATTTTATTCCATCTATACCAATCCTATATATATATATATATATATATATATATATATATATATGGATATATATTTCCATGGATGTATAATAAATGTTAAAATTTCCTTTCCTTTTGCTGTGCAATTATAGTCTAGGGGTAGAATCTCTGACCGATACCAAATCGGTCGTGTTTTAATCAGCTTGAAACAATCAGATGTCTAGCCACACTGAAGATCTGTGATACAGAGAAACAGTCTATTTGTGGATTTTATATATATATACACACACACACACAAGTTTTCAATGGTCAAGTTTGCTTTTATTTGTTCTTCAATATGGTAGTAGCTACATAAAATCAGCAGTATTTGTTACCACCCTTTGGTATTTTTTTACTACATCATAAAGTCAGTTTACGAGCCAGTACCAAACTTTTATCAAACAATTTTGGTGCGCTTTTGAATATTTACTATACAGGTGGACAGTTTGAAAGTTTTTCGGTGTGAAAGTGACACAAAAAAAGGTGGGGAATCCTGACGCTAAACCATTTCAAGGATTTAGTTTCCCAAAAAATACTAGTATGCAGACAAATGAATTCTAACAACTACACAGACATCACATCAATTCTTGATAATGACTGTGAAAGTCAAAAGTACTTGAACAAAAATAACAAAATATGAACTTTGTACAGTTTATCCACAATTTTGCGAACA